TGTGGGAAAGACATTGGAAGACACAGGTCAGAGGAGAATATTGCCCTTTTCCACCTAAGTACCCAGAAGACACCATGTTACTAAATTTGGGGTCATAGTCTATGCCTCAAGAAGTCAAGTATGACCACTCATCCTTTGAAAACCTATTAAAATAGGCAGGCTCACTCCAGAAGAATCTAAGCCAACCTAGATTGTTGGGGTTTGGGAGTTTCTTTTCTTAAAAAATAAGTTTTCCATAGGGCATCTGCCAAGATCAGTTCCCTGCCCCCTGCAGCCCCTGAGATTGCTGTGCAAATGTCTTCTGACAGCATGATTCTAGAGTTATTTCAGGGAAAGTTGTGTCGTGATGGTAAAGATTATTTTGACAACAGGGTAATAGAACCATTATAAGGAAAAGATTATGCCCTAAGTCGCAGCTTCTTTTCTAAGAAGACAAACTAGGCTAAAAAGGCCTCTTTAAACTGTTCATTGCTGTCAAGTTTAATGAAACTCCTTTTCCCCTCCAGCACTGTCTTTCTAATGTCGGCTCATCTGAAGAGGCTGCTGTCAAAAAGGCTTCTGGAAGAACCGAAGGGAACATGTCAAATCATTGCTAGAAAATGTTTCTAATGTAAGAGAAACTTGTTTCACTTGGTCAAAGGTTCCCTTTAATAGAGAAATTCGGAGGCTTGTAGAGATGGCTTAGCAGTTAAGAACACATACTGTTCTGGGAGAGGACCCAAGTTCAGTTCCCAGCACCTGTAAAGCAACTCACAGCCACCTGTAATTCCACTTCCAGGAACCCAACACCCTCTTCCAGACTTCAGGAAACCTGCACTTGTGTACACACACACACACACACACACACACACACACACACACACAATTAATAAATAAAAGTAGGGATGGAAAGATAGTTCAGCCGTTAAGAGTACTGGCTGCTCTTCCAGATTCCTAACGTCCATGAGGCAGCTCACAAGTATCTGTAACTCTAGTCCTGGGATCCAGTGACTGCCCACGGCCCTCAAGAGCACTAGACTACACAGACACAATGCCCATGCACATAAATAAAACTGAAAATATAAATATAAAGGGGGTTGATATATTCTAAAGTCCTAAGATATCACACGAGAGAAATAAACAGTGAAGCAGGTAAATGGAGGAGACAGCGACAGGAATGAAGGAAATAACTGTTCCAACAATGACTGGAACAGCTGTAGATGTCTTGTTCCAAAATAGATTCCAAGTGAGTTTATTTCCTGATCAAGTGTAGAGGGTGGACTCTTCCATCAAACAACCTGAGCGATCACATATTATGAAAGTCCTTGGAGCAGGGAGGAGAGCTGGTGTCTGACTTAGAAAATCCTGAACACTGTCTTCTCCCCGACATATCTAAGAGAGGATCTAAGGGCTAAGGGACATTTTAGATTTCTGCAGCATTTAGACAAGTGAAACCAGAATGTTGTGGGATATTTGACTGCACTGTGAAACCCCAAGACTGTGTTAATAAAATCAACCTTGGATCAGGGAGTGATCCTGCCAGTGACTATTTGGCAGGAACTAGCCATAGAGAGTAGGAAGAGCCAGGAATATGGATAGAGAGACACACAGGAAGGAGTAAGGAGGGACTTGGAGATTCGAGGTATTTTTTGGTTTGGAGAGACACTTTCTTGTTGTGTCTCTGGCCAAAACTGAAGGTCAGCTGGTTGCTTGTTGGCCTCTCTGAGCAGCAGGTTTTCACCCCACATATGAATGATGAATGAGACTTGCCATGGCCTGAGCAGGGTTGTGGCGCTGACTGCGGGCCGGGGGGGCTGCAGAAGGTAGTTAAAACCTCAGTGGATTCAGGTGTAGCTGCTGTGTGGGAGATAAAATACCCACAGAAACACACAGACCATGAGATGGGAAAAGCAGAGAGCTAGGAAAGCAAAGGAAAAGCCCAGTCTCTCTCCAAATGCAAGCTTTTCCTGGGGCTGTCCACATAAAATACACAATACTAGGAACTCTATCACAGACGACATTGGGGACAGACGCTGTCCTGATGGGATGAACTGACATTCTTTTTCAGAGCACTGTTTCAAATAAATTAGTGCTCTCATCCCATGTACTATGAAAGGAAAGAAGACAGGAGATGGTTGAGGAATGCAGAGACGGTTTATTAAGATGGCCTACCAGTACCAGCAAATGCCTAAATTACTGAAAAACCAGATTATGATTATTTGAATTCTCTTATTTAAGAGTAAGAGAAGTCAAATTGATGTACATCATGCCAGGTGTTATAATAATTCTTTAAAATTTTGTTTACAGACCTTGAATATGATAGTAACTGTAGATTCTCTACTCAGAAAAATATATACGCACATATCACTCCTCTATGAATAGGATGTCAAACTTCACTGCTTTGATAAAACACTTGACACAAACACCATAACAGGAAGAAAGATTAAACCAATGATATAGAAACACTATGTTATATGGGTGTTCTGAACAATCTCCTGTCTTCTTCCTTTCTTTAACTACGTGGAATAAAGACACAATAGGTAGAGACTGTTTCCTCAATTGAACAGGTAATCAGTGAAGATCAATCACTGAATATACTACAGACTCATATATAAACAAAACCTCAGTTTCTCTTACAAACTCAAGTTTTCACTTAATAATTACCACAGGATTACAAGTTTATTGTTTGTATAGCACCTTCCAGAAAGATGGGTAATCTTTAAAAACATGTTTTCTACTATTCCTTGAAAGTTAAGCATTTTCAAAACAATGGTTTACAATATTTTGATTATGTTTTTAATTATTTAACTTTCAACGCCCTGCTCATCTGTTTGTGAACATCTATTGTTATGTGCTGGCACTCTCTTGTAATCTGATCTTAGACATTTCCTCAAGTCAACAGAAGACATATAAAATGGTATGCAGCAATATATCTGGAATTTCCCACAATATTTTCGCCACAGAGCACAATCACTAGGTCTTGAGGATTTAACTAGACATTGGTTACGGAAACGAGGCCTCACTGAATACTCACATTCCACCGTGGTTTCTCATGTTTTAATGTTTTTTTTTTTTTTTTGTCATCAATACTTAACTAAATGCTTTAAACAGAATTAAATTAAAAATTAATCTCCTCTGCTCTCTTGACTTTTGAGGTAACCTCTTCTTCCAGTTTAAAGACTAATAGTCTCTTGAGTCCTTTTTGTGGTCTTACATGTGGCTAGAGGGTTTGCAAATGTCCATCTTTTTTTACAAATATATTGTATTTCCTTAATTTCTGCTTACTCCTCCTCAAATGTTGCTATTTCTTTTAACTTCTTGGAAAGAATAACTAATGCCACTTTCCTCTTTTGTGATAAACCTGTTTAGAGTTGGGCTCCATGAATTTTGCTCAAACACCTCTTCAATTCCCCACACTTGAGGGAAGTGACATTGGCGCTCTAGCATCTGTGGCTCTGCCTCCACGGGTCAAATGAGCAGTGAACTGAAAATATTTTAAATAACTTGCATCTGTACCAAGCACATACATTTTTTTGTCATTGCTCTATAAATATTACCGTATTGCACCTATTTATATGGCACTGACATTAAGTTAGGTTAGAGGTGATCTGAAATACACGAGCGAATGTACACGAGTAGGTTATACGTAAACACTGTGCTATTTCAGACAAGGACTTCAGCTGCCTCTAACTGTGGTATCGGGACGTGAGGAGCGATGGTGTCTTAGCGAGGGCTCCTATTGCTGTGCTGAAACACCATGAATGAAAACAACTTGGGAGGAAAGGGTGTGTTTGGCTTACACTTCCACATCACTGTTCATCACTGAAGGAAGTCAGGACAGAGCTCAAACAGGGCAGGAACCTGGAGGCAGGAGCCGATGCAGAGGCCATGGAGGAGTGCTGCTTACTGACCTGCTCATTCTGGCTTGCTCAGCCAGTTTTCTTACAGAAGCCAGGACCATCAACCCAGGATGGCACCACCCACCATAGGCTGGGTCCTCCCCCATCAATCATTAAGAAAATGCCTTGCAAGTCTGCCTACAGCCTGATCTCATGGAGGCGCTTTCTTAATCGACGTTCCCTCCTCTCAGAAGATTTTAGCTTGTGTCATGTTGACGTAAAACTAGCCCGTATAAGAGGTATTTGGTTTTCATGTATAACATGGTTTCAAGTATAACCTTTCTGGGAGCTGTAGACATCTACACATACTTCCTTGTTTCCACAGTTATTTCCAACTGAAACCTACGGAAGATAGGGGTCACAAAGTGAACTTTCCCCAAATTTCTCTACCAGAAATGTCTCCATGTCACACAGGTCTCCCAAGCCCCACCCCCGCTTCTGCTTCCCAAGCTTACCTAACCCAGATAAGGTCTCGCTATATAACCCGGCTAGCCTCGCCTCATTCTCTGTTGTGGTTTCGATGCGCGGTGATCTTTGTAAGCTCCAGTGTCTAAACACTTGGTCCCCAGCGGTTAGAACCTTAGGTGTACCTCTAGCTAATGTGTGGCTTGTTGGGGATGGCCCTGAAAGTGATATCCCTTCTGGTTTCCTGAAATGCTCTGCCCCTGGTGCACTGGAATGTGAGAAGCAGGCTGTGAGTTCCTGCCACCATACCTTCCCCACCATGATAGACTGGACTCTGCAAAGTGTGAGCCAAAACAAATCTTAAGTTGCTTCTGTCAGGTACTTTGTGACAGCAACAAGAAAAGCAAGTGATACACTTTCTCATCTATCCATTTCCCTACTCGTCACCATCTAACCTGCACATACAGCCTTTAGCCACCCCGCTGCCTCGGCAGCCACCCCCCACTCCCCCCACCCCCCCGCCTCGGCAGCCAATGGCAGCAGTGCACTCTGTCCATTAAGGTACTGTAGGATGAGATCCACACAATCAGCTAGAGATCATCCTAGCAGCCCTTCCTCACCACCACTTAACTCCTTATTCTCCAAGTTTCCTTCCTTCACTCCCGCCTGAGACCTCTCTTTTAATAGACATCTTAAGGTAACCACAACTTCAATTACTTCCTCTACTCTCTGGTTTTAATAGTTTCCACTGTTGTGTTCTGAACAGTTTTATCTTACTCGCTCACTAAAACCACAGATTCCAAGTTGTTCCACGGAAGTAACCAGTAAACCAAAGAAGCAGTCTTAGAAGGTAAACTGCAGGAAAACGTCCCCCAATTACTGTCTTTTTGTTTTAGTGAAAGTGCTGTTTTTGAAAGAGTTTAAGTTGGGCTGTTACAAGATGGAGTGGCTTATAGAGGTTCACATTCAACCTCCAAGAATGTCCAACTTCCAGACATTCATTTCCATATATCACTTAAGGCCAAAAACTATTCTCTTCTCCAGTCTTATTCTTCCTCCATTAACTGTCTGGGGGGGGGCATCAAAATCTGCCGAGTCCCCTTAATCAGAACCTTAGACATTTTTTTTCCTTTTCCTTTTGTTCTCCCTCTATATCCAATAGCTAAGTACTTCCTATTTTGCCTCATAAACAAGTTCTCTGTCCCTATTCAGTCACCACTGCCCTTGGTTGGAACTGTCTTTCCTCCTGCAAGAATGAATATGCTCCCTTCCCTAATGAATATGATCCTTAAACGATCCTTAATTCTCTTCCTTCTTATTGGCCAGCGTGATCTAGTTACAAATCTGATAGTGACTCTTCAATTTCATGTGAGTGTTCAACAAATATTTCCAGTATAAATTTCAAATCTTGACACCACTGACTTAGGCGTGACAGAGATGTGTTTGTACCCCAAGTTCAGACAGCTAGAGTCTTCAAACTTCTGCTTCTCTCTTTTGCCTCAATGACTGGGAGCCTGGACTCCTGGAACAGAGAATGAATTTGAAGGTTCAATTAGAGAAAGTATTTAAAAACGCATGTGAAAAGATTACTCTTCCTTAAACACCACCAAATACCAGGTCTCCGTCACTTCCCCAAGTGTGACTTCCTTCTACTGGTACTGTGAGACAGACAATCACATTAATAGTGTATACAAGGATCTAGATCACCCGGAATCCAGACTATTTTGGCTCCTGCCTGAGCAGTTATGTAACCTTGGGGAAGTTACTTAATTTCTGCATCTCTCACTCCCACCACCCCTAACCTCAGTAAAATCTGGGAGATGTAACAACATTGGATTGCTTTAGAGTTAGGGAACTCCGTTGGCATGGTGACCAGTACACGACACTTGCTAAATGTTAATTATTCTCTACCATCCCCACGAATTAGGACTGTAGGTAACCCACTGCGTGGTTTTCAATTTTGTAGGTGAAAACTTCTCTCGGCATTGCTAGTTAAAGGAAATCTGGAAACGTCTATCTGGAGATAGGAGAAAACAGGCGACATGTGAGCTGCTGGCTCCCACGTTCTCTGAGCTGGGAGGAACAAGTTTAGTCCTTATTTTACGTACGAGGAAGTTGAAGGGTGACGTGTCCTCGGGCCTCGTGCAAGGCACAGTCACAACTCTTTATTGAGAGGGAGACGAGAGCCCCGGAGTTGCTATGGTTAAGCTGCAAGCGAAAACGTAACACTGGGAAGACGGGAGCATTTAGCTGTATACAACCGGCCAAGTCCGGTGCAACTTGCTTGGGTAAGCAAGGGAAAGCTGTCAGACATGGAGAAGCCCCGCTGCTGACAGAATCAGCTCTCTACCAAGCGCGGCCTCGAGTAGCGAACTGCCGCAGCTCAGGCCCAGGACCCCGGCTCCAAGCTGCCCACGATGAATGGAAACCCGAGTCCGCGCGCCGCGGCTTGAGGGCCGGGGCGGGGCTTTGCGAGTCACGTGCCGGACCGTAGGCGGGCGCGTGGAGGGAAGTCTGGGTCTGATTGGCTGCCCGTCACCAGGTGACCGCGGGGCGCGTTCCGGTTGGCAGGAGCCGGCTAGCGGCCTTCAGTCTGGAGGCGGCGACGGAAGGAGGAGGAGCTCCGGCCGCGCTCTCGGCCCGCAGTGGCTGCGTCTCCCAGCGCTTGTCGGGTCCCCACCCCTTTTAAATAAGCCGGGCTGGTCGCCGCCCTCGCAGACTAGTCCGCTGTGGGGAGGCGGCGGCTGCGAGCCGGCGGGGGTGCGGCCGAGGCCGG